TGCAAGTTTTAGTAATTTGCAAATATTAATATTCTGTCATTTACCTTTTAGAAGTGTGAGAAGGGAATAAAGCATTGGCTTTTTAATTTCACATTAATTGCAGTTGGCCTTCTGTATCCACTGATTCTGTATCTACAAATTCAACCATCCATTGCTTGAAAATTATTTTATTAATCCAAAAAGCAAAACTTGATTTTTGCCATTTTATATAGGTAAAGGTAGAGGTTTCTCCTTGACATTAAGTCTAGTTGTGTCCAACTCTGGGGAGTGGTGTTTATCTCAAGCCAAAGAGCTGATGTTGTCCGCAGACACCTCCAAGGTCATGTGGCTGGCATGACTGCACAGAGCGCTGTTGACTTCCCTCCAAAGCGTTACCGGTTGATCTACTCACATTTGCATGTTTTTGGAACTGCTAGGTTGGTAGAAACTGGGGCTAAGAGCGGGAGCCCACCCCACTCCCTGGTTTCAAACTGCTGACCTTTTGGTCAGCAAGTTCAGCAACTCAGTGGTTTAAGCTGAGCAGGGGCTCCACATTTTTATATTGTATATAAGAGACACCATTTTACCATGCCATTGTATATAATTGTGAATCCACAGATGCTGGTATCTTCACGCGGGAGCTGGAACCAAACCCCAAAGGATACCAAGGGCCCTACTGTGCATACAAAAAATCTCATTTTATGAGTTGATCCTATCTTTTCCATCCAAATATATCAAATTTTTGGTTGGCAAATGTAATCTAGTAAGGGACATTCACAAAAACAGCCTCATTGTGACTTGAAATCTTATGACATAAAGAGATTACGTGACACTGTGGTATCTTGTGTTAAAATGGGGGACAAGATACAAAATGCAGCATAGCAGAAATGTCAAAAGTGATCTTATTGGCATGAATAAGCCAAGACAGGTTCCTTTGCATGCAATGAGGAACTGCAGCATTAGATTTTAATTCTAGGTGATGCATTAGCATGCAGTGAATGGAAAAGTTCGATTCTCATTTCCTAAAATTAATCATAAAGTGAAGAGGAAACTCCTTTTTCATATGCTAGCTTCTGGCTTTCTCCGCTCTATCCCTTAAAATCCAGAAATGTATTTTTTAAAGCAAAAATGCTATACAAAGGCAGGTGAGGCATGTCAGTAAGAATAATCTACTCCCTTATTGCTATCTAATAGAACAATCTTAATTATAGCTGCCCTGAAATATGTTCCATGTAATCAACCTGAACTTACACTTCATAGAAGTGCTAGTCAACAAATTCCTCAATGTGCTGCTGGCAAAAAAAATAAAATAAAACCTTATGTTTATCTGTCTAAATAATAATGGAAATCATTATGGAACACAATTTCACCATTGCGACTGTTGTTTGACATCTGAAAAATGTTCTGGGTGGTGGTGGTTGTTGTGGTTGTGGTTGTTGTTGTTGTTCCCTGTGGGTTTTGGTTTTTGTTTGTTTGCCTAATCTTATTCCAGTAAAAACATTTATATTCTTCTCTGATTTATTTTTACTATGAGCAACCAGCTTTATATTTTGACCTTAGGATATCTGCCTGCCTTTCCCTCTCTCTCCCTCCCTCTAATGTAAAATTAAGAAACTTCAATATGGATGAAATCAGTAGAAGAGCAAGCTAATCAAATATGGTTTTCAGAACAATGAGAAGAAATATTTTGAGAACAAAGAAAAGGCCAAAGCTGTTAACTATCAAACTAGCCTGGAGAGATGATCAAAGGAAGAAAATTTAAAATGTGATCTAAGGTCAAGAATCTTGCTTTGAAATTAAACTGCAGAGAAAAGAAAATAAGTAATTATTATTTCTAGATTCTAACTTGTTGGCACTAAATTTTGTAGAATTCTACATGTCATGAACTTACCAGTTCTTCTATTTTACAGCATTTAAATTAAATTACATTTCCTATTTAATTTGTTTAAATGTAAATTTAAGCAAAAAAAAAAATCCTATATTTCACTAACTTATGTTTTTAATGTCAGTTCCAGAAAATCCTTAAAGGTATGTGCACTCACTTTATCTAACTTTCACTACATAATATTAGGTTTTGCCGCATGAGGATAAATTGCCACACCCCTATGTTTAGGAAGCAATATGTTGCAATATAATTCTCCACTAATGGTATTCTCAATGGAGCCATGTTATAAACCTTCCTCCTGCTATGATAAAGTCTTTGAAAATTGCAGTTTTCAAATATGGTGCTTTGTGCCATTTAGAACTTATTCTACACAATTTTTCAGAGTTTTTTGCACAGAAAACAGCCTTTTCTATGCAGGAAATATTTTTGCAGAAATGTTGTTTTCTGCACAAAAAATATATTTCCTGTGGAGAGAAAGCTGTTTTCTACACCAAAAAAAATATCTCCAGTCCAGGGTTTGCTTTCATTAGTATTCCCAGAAAATCATACAATATGTTTTTCAACAATATTGCAAATATTTTTCAATGTTCCTTTTATCCCTAAAGCCACATATACATTTTGTATCTTAAATATTGCACTTCTTTATAATTTATCCATTTTTGACACTTCCTCTTGGCCTTTCATTCCCAATATTATTACTCTATGTTTGGGGAATATTAAAACTCGGGACCCTATGGCTGAGAACCAGCATGGTGTAGTGAATTATGTTGGACTAGGGACCTCGTTGATGAGGTCTTCCAGATCAATTTGCCAGCCTCTGTGGGGAATCAGGGGCAGCAGCGCAATCCGGGTGCCCTGCCTCACTAACAAATTATGCTTTTCCATCACACATGGGGAAGCATCACTGCACAGCCCCCCCCCCCCGAGGGTAGCCTTGTTGTTCCTAATGGAACACAGGGAGGCCCCCTTTTTGAGAGCACAGCATCATAGGAGGTTGCCATCCCAGTTGAGCCCTGGAGCGCCACTGAAAGTGAAGCTACATTGTGTGATGGGTGGCATGTGGCTCTGTGGCTCAATTGGAGCAGAGGTGTCCTAGGATGCTGAAATTTCCTGTGTGATGAGGTTGTAGGACTTTATAAGACCACTGTTAGAATTCCCACTTAGCCAGAGAAACATAGTAGAGATATTGAACAAGTTACATTATCTAACTTTCAAAGGAAGGCAATGACAAAGTTCTGAGCAAATTGTGCTTGGAGTACCTCATGATAAGGTTGGCTAACAGTCACTATAAATCAGAAATTACTTGGTTGGTTTTTTATTTAGAAATAGTCACAAACAATATGTCACACAGACAATTGATTTAGGAAACACACTGAGATGCAAAGAGGGTAAAGGAGAGATGTATTAACCTACCTGTCACAAGCATGATTAGATATGGAAATGGTGTTCACTGAGTTAGCCTTAAACTCTAGGAAGCAGTGGAGGAAATTGGGAGCCCTGACAATCTTTAAAGTGTAATCTGGAATCTAAGGGCTAAACTTTAGGGTGTGAGCTGCTTATTATATCATGTCCCTAATGTGAAATACCATGTGGATCCAGAATAGGTCTTCACAATAATTTATGGTTCCACAGCCAAGACTCTACCTCTGGAAGACCATCATCCTCAGCCATGAGTGATAACTGATGATAGTGGTGGTGGTGGTGGTGACTGATTATTGTTTGGCTGTGATTTGGTGGGACACATCTGTTCTGGCTTCGCTGCCACACCATCCCCACCCCCAATATCCTTGAATAGATGGACTCTCAAGGTTGGGTGTTTCTATCATCAGCTGAAAACTGGCCTGTCTATTCTGGCATTTTGTTTTATTTCATTTCCCTAATTGTAGCTCTATCCATTTTAATTGAACAGCTTTTTTTTACCAGTTTCCTACATCTAGGTTGCATAGCATAAATCCAGAGTTACACATTGATAGTGCTAGATAACCCTGTTATGGAATGGCAACATAGAATAATTGTATGCACAACCCAGTACAGAATTGAATACACTAAGAAATGTCCAAACAAGTGCATAAAACCATATGCAATCCAACTCCAACTGGAATAGTCCAGTTGAAAAGACTGGGATTTCTTAGTTAACAGTAACATAAGTCTAATTTATTTTAATAGACCTGCTCAAAATGTGACAAAACTGGATGTAGTCCTAAATAATATACATACACAGTATGTAAGACTGTTAGAAAACATACAAAAATTCAAATTGGTACCTTAATTTTCAGTGGGACTATAGTCTGATAGTTTAAAAGACCTTACAGTTGAAATGTTTAAGGGACTTGCAATTAAATAGAATGTTGTACAAGTTGGGAGATATGAAAGATGGTCCTGAATCTCTCCAGCAGAGTGATGGAATAAGTAATGGATAAGACAAAAAATGAAGAACAACAATCCAGCACTCACTCATTCACACATACATAGCCGAGAAAGAAATAAGTGAAGTCTTCCTTGTAAGATATAGAATAACTTTATTTGTACTTTCCCATAATCAAACACATGGTCTAATGAATGAGAAAGAGAGAATACAATATGGATGCAAGACACACTGATGAAGGAAGAGAGGGGGTATTGAAAACAAACAGGAATTCAGCAAACTTTCAAACTAGCAATTAGTTTTGGCATGCAAAGGCTGCTAATTCTAAGTGTATAAGCTGTCATGATATCTGATTTTAAGATGATCTAGGCTGCAATACCAGACCCATCTGGTAGTAAATTTCAGTGACCTCAATGGGAGTTGCTTCTGAATTTATATGAAGACGACTGCATTGCTAATTTTAAAATAGGCTGTCATCGTATTTCCACTACAAATGGATAAGCCTCTATCTCCCCATGTATTGTCGAATATGTTTCTGAAACCATGAAGTGCAATAAGGAAAGTCAAAAGAAATTAAATAGATTCTCACATTAACTTTATCTGGTAGTAAATGAAAGTGACATTCCAGCAATGGTTTGTAAACAAAGAACCTTTCTCATTGGGAAGGAGGATCTTAGTTGATTTTGCTGAGTGAAAATTAAGGAGGACATTCTGAAAAAAAGTCATTACAATGCTGCTCGTCCATGACCTAGCTATAAATACACTGGTAGGTGGATAATGAGGTCATGGCAAGATTTCAATTGACTGGCTTTAAAATGCACACACACTACAATTGCCCTGGTTGGAGCCATATATTCAAGCCAACTATATGTGTAAGTATTAATGTCCTTTAACTCAAATGATTAAAATGAAAGGATTTCTCCATTGTGTTAATTATTCTTAAATAATAATAATATATGTTCTGCTTTTTGTGAATCAGAAATCTGAAGATTTTCCTTATATATTTCTAGATGTTACTTCCCGCCCAAAGGGCAAAGATATCGTGCAAGTATGCAGTGAGTCCCTCATGTGCTATCCCAGCTGTTCACTTGCTTTCAGTTTCGATGCAAGTTTTAGAAAACAGTTTCAAGATTTTTTAGTACGTTGCCTTTGCCCTCCTTCATCTGGCTGACAGGCTTCTTCTTTCTTTAGTTTCTTCCTCTGTTTACTGGGTTGAGAGACGCCTCTTAATCCTGCAGTGGACTCTGCCATGCCGTGACTGGCTGGCATTTTCAGACTTCCTGCTGTTTGGCTGTCTATTTTATTATGCAGAGCGGGAAGTAATCCCTGGGCCATTTTGACTGAGCAATAAAGATACGCCCTGTGCAGACCTCTTGGAGGACAAACCAAAAAATGATCACAGCCATATGGAAGTTCAGTTAGTATTCTCCAGACAGAGTAAACATAGGGAAAGAGAACATGATTTCTTTTTCGGCTTATAGCAATAGAATCAGTATTCATCAAAACAGATGCAAATCAGATGAATGAGTATGCAACCAAAAGAAATATTTACAGCATGTGCATCTTCATGCTTACTTGCAATTTAGTACAGTCAGAATTTCAACTCTGTAGGCTTAGTTTAGATTTTCCAAGAAAGGTTAGTCCCCTATGCATTCAGTGGGGTTCATTCTCCAGTTACCAGCCAAAGTTTAAGAGTCTCCATCCTTATCTCCCCCCTGGAGATTGTCCTCAGAACTGAAGACTTGTGGTCAAACTCTGAGATCTAGCAACCATAATTCAGATATCAGAGGTAGATAACTTCCAATTGTCAGTATGTCACAATTGCCTACACACAGATACACACTATCAATTTATATTTCTTTCTTTTGGTAAATCAAGAGCTTTTGTTCTGATTTCACTACTGGAAAAAGCAAGACATGGCTGGTAAAATTTGAGAGCCAAGCCATTAAGTCAATTCTATGTCACATTTTATTTTCACTGTTTAAGAGTTCCTTTTGGTTAATGTGTGTGTGTGCCTGTATGTATATGAATATTCAGGAGCTCCAGTGTTGTGTCCAGAGGTGACTTTCTTGTGTTATTATAGTTTGTCTCATCTACAATTTCAGGCCAGAATTCTCTTTGTAGATTGAGATATGATGTTAGGGTATCCAACACCACCTACATAAATGACCACTGCCAATGCAGTAACATGGGAGATCTTTCCTGAGTCCTATTTTCTTTCTCTTTGCTACTGCTGTTTTTTCCAACTGGCCTGAACAAAAACAAGAACAAGGGCAAGAAGCAGCTTTCTCCTCTTAATTCTCTCCTTCCGATGCAGATTGGACACAGAAAGCAAACAACTAAAGCAAAAGTGGGAATGGCACCTGCCTGGAGGCTAGCCACAGGGCCATAACTTCAAAATGCTATTTTAAGGAAATGTATCACCCCAATCCAGTCAGAATGGTCACTGGGGGCATCAGGAATTTATTGCTGAAGACATTCATGGCCAGAATCCCTGGGTTGTGAGTTTTCTGGGCTGTATGGCTATGTTCCAGAAGCATTCTCTCCTGACGTTTCGCCTGCATCTATGGCAGATATCCTCAGAGGTTGTGAGGTTAATCAGGAATTTGTCCCCAAAAATAGCTTTTCTGAGCTTTGCCCAAAAGGTTTTGCTACTTGGGACAAGATAGTGCCCTGTTCCAGATTTGTTGGTACTCAAGTAGTTGCATCATCTCCCAGTACTAAATATGGGGAAGGGTCCTTCACTCTACTTGAGAGCAACAGGCTGGATATATATGGGATGGATGAGGTCAGAACACATAGCTTTCCTCCCTCTTTCTACCCCTTTTCTGCCAGGGATCTATCACTTATGAATATGATGGCTAACTCATCCAATAACTAGGTCTGAGGTAAGCTCAGACAGAATATTTTGCCCAAGGGCCTTCCAAACTCTCAATAACCTATGATTGCGCTTAAGAGTAGGGGGAGGAGTATCATTAATCTTTATCACGTTGGCCTAAATTTGAAGCTGGTAAGTTTTAACTTGGAAAAGACCTATTCAAAGGTAAATAGTATTCTTTTTATTTTCTTTGCCCAGATGACTTGTTTAAGCTTTATTATATGAAACTTGTAAAAAAACTGATTATAAAAGAATACAGCCTGAGATGGAAGGGGCAAATACTAAGAGGAAATTACTTGGACTGAATTTAATGATTTTCAGATCTGAAGCTGTGAATACATTTGAAGCACAGTAGGATTCATCTGTGTAAATGTTTGGTTTATTTAGTCTCTTAATTTCATGTGAAATCGAAGTAGGCAATAGCAAGTGAAGTTGACAATTGAAAATGTACTTGCCCATAAACCTACAGAGACAATTGAACACTTAATATTTACAAATATAATTACTGTGGAAAGGACTAGTTTCCATTCAGAGAGGACTTTTATGAGCTAAGACGAGATTCACAGCTTGAGTGTTCAATCGGCATGGAACCATTTTTGATTTCTTCCAATTAGGCTTTTTGTATGTGCATGAGAACTTACTTACTCTCATTTTGACAACAGCATTTAAGGTCATTATGCAAGCCTCCTGAGATTTCAGAATCAATATACTTGATTCATATGGTAGAAAAGCATTTTAAAGACAGTGCTTTCCCTTCGGTAAAACCGTCAACATCTGTCTTACTATGAAACATTTATTTCAGAGGAGCAACATATTGTTGATTAATTGGACTAATGAATTTAAATGTTAAGTCAAGATTTCCTTGGCCAAAAAAGCTTCCACTTTTAGGAGAAAATATTTTTGAATAAATTTTAATTTTTTAGGTTTGTTTTTTTTTTAATCACATAACCATAATCAACTTAAGCATTTATCTTGCTTCCCCTACACTCTGGAGGAAACGCCTATTTACAGCTTGTTGTTGTTAACTGCTTTCAAACCAGCTTTGACCTATGGCAACCCTATGAATAAGAAACCTCCAAGTCACCTTGTCATCAACAGCCATGCTCAGGCTCTTGCAGATTCAGGGACATGGCTTCCTTGACTGAGTCTATCTTTCTCTTTTCCTATTGTGGTGATTTACTCTAGGACCAATTTATTGATTTGCTCTAAAACTAATTTATTGCTCTTTTTATCAATCCACAATATCCATAGAATGAGTTGATTTTCCACAGTATCCATAGAATGAGTTGATTTTCTTCCAGCTTTCAAAACCACACACAGAAAAGGGAAATATGATGGCACTGACTATCCTAAATTTAATATTCAGTGATATATCTGCACACTTCATGATCTTATCTAGTTCCTTCATAACTGTCCCCCCAAGTCCTATTCTTCTGATTTACTAACTGCAGTCTCCACACTGATTAATGACTGAGTTAAGGCATGGGAAATGTTGAACCATACAAATGTTTTCATTGTTGACTTTAAAATATTTTTTTAAACCTGCATTTGCATTTCTTTCTTGACTTTCTTCAGTCATTGCTATTTTCTGCTAATAGCATAGTTACTTCCTCCTATTTTCACACTTCCTTTTTCCAAGGCTAATCCTACTTTACATATGATATGTTCAATGTACAAGTTAAAAAGATAGGGTGATAAAATGCAGATTTGTCTGACCACCTTGCTAATTGTCAACCATTCATTTCTCCATATTCTGTCCTGATAATAGCAGCTTGTTCTGACTACAGAATAAACATCAGGAAAATCATATATTGTGACACAACCATTTCTTTAAGAAATATCCATAGTTCTTCATGATCTACGCAGTCACATTGCCTTGCTATAATCTGTAAAGCACAGGCTGGCCCACTTCAAAATTCTTTGGTTTACTTCTATATAAGGTGTTTTGGACTTCAACTCCCAGAAATCTCAGAGCAAGGGCCCCAATATATAGATAATGGATGAGCTACTAGCCTCTGAGTATGTATGCATGCAGTGCTCAGATGCAACCAAAGAGGTCAGTATATAGATAGAAAGGATTTGTTACTGGTAAAGAGACTGTGACTTCCAAGAAAAAGATGAAGGAAGGAAGAAAAAGGAAAGGGGGAAAGGAAGGAAAAGAAAGGAAGGAAGAGGCAGAAGAATAATTGAACTTCCACGTGAAGTTCTGCTACTGAGTGGTTGGGTTTCCTTGATGCTATTATTTCCATAATGGAAAGGCCACAAATGTTAATTTCATTGATGCAATTAATTATATTTCTATTTTTGTTCTAAAGATGTTCCAAACAGTTGGATGGAGAATTTTCCCATTTTCTGGGCAGAGAGGAGAGCAGGTTTTTTGAGACATGAAACACTAAGCATAAGCTTGACATCTCTAATGTGCTAAAGATTGTTTGATTGATTAAAATAGTTATATCACAGCACCCAATATCTGATACACACAGAGTGTGAGGTAAAATCTCTAACATAACTTAAGGACAGGTAAATCATTTTGAAGACATAAATTTTCTCCAAATGTTGAGCTGATGCAGGGGGACAGGATTAAGAAAAAAAATATTTAGGAGAACAGCCATGTTTTAACTTAATGCTGAAATGGAGCTAATGTCAATGTCAGTTTGGCCCTCTAGGTTCCATCTACATTGACCATTTAATACAGTTCAAAGCTATTTTCAAACTGCAATAGTTAAATAATAAATGGCCACAAAAGTGTGTGTAAGTAAGCCCCTGATGTGCATCAGCGCTCTGTGGTTTGTATAATCACTATTTGGGCCTCAAACTGGTTCCCAGGATGTCCTATATAATCATCTGTATCAGGCCCGTAGCCAGGATTTCAATTCGGGGGGGATGAGTTTTTTTCAGGTGGGGTTTTGGGGGGGCTGAGTTTCGGGGGGGTTGAGTCTGAGTGAAAGAGGGTCTACCCTAGCAAACCTTTTGTATCATTACCCCAATACCCCC